ATCCTATTTCATTTGCTTCAGTTCGTTTATGTGCAGAGAATGTGATTGCGTCAGTCTCATGCACCAGCGGCAGCCTTATGCACATTTTCCGGTGTTCGGAAGCGTGAGCCATGTTTAAACAGCTGACTAAAGTAAATATTTTCCCGTGGTTTTTAACGATTAGCGTGCACTGCTCCACGCGATCGTTTCCATTTGCCAAAACCGTAAATTGGACATGTTGATTCTACGAAGCTAAAATTCAGCAAGCAAAGATGGACGATGAAGCCATTCGTGCTCAACCTCAAAAACAATTATTTTAACTGTGTAACTATTTCACTTTTATTATTGTGTCTGGTCATATTTGTAGTGCTTATTTATTTATCGTTTCTTTCATTTCTCAAAAAGTTTGTGTTTTTTAATTTTACTGTTATTCATTTGCGGACGACTGCATCGTTTTCGTACAAGACTTGATACAGTTTCAACACCTGTAAGTATAATCCCTCACTATCGGATTGGAGGTTGATCTCTCCAAGGCAAAAGAGACGCGAAATAGCCTCCTTCGCGATGGCTCTGTCAGTGCGAATTGCAATGAAATCACTACCTGTGTAAACTTCATCTATCAGATGAACCGCATAAACTCTTTAGATGGGAAAATCAGCCTAAAATGGAAGGCAGCATGGACCAGCCTTAACAGTATTAAACATCAACTCGATGTAAGCTTCCCATGAAGTAGAAAAAGATCTGTTCGATTGAAGAATGCTTTCTGCCATGATCTACGGCGCTGGATGTTGGTGTGGCCACTAAAACTGCGAAAAACAAACGGGTGGCCAATCAGAGAGTGATCAAACGAAACATGTGTTAAGTGTCCCTCCAGAATCACGCACCTAGTGGAAAAATTCGACAGACGTTGGATTAACGTTGGATTATGTAGTTTCTGTCTTCTACGACGTAAAGTGAAAACAAGCCGGTCATGTGGCTCGCCTGAGAGAGAACCAGGGGACGTAAAGAATTACAAACTGGATTCTGCTGGAAAACAAACGTCGATTCGGTCGTCCAAGAACACCCTGGAACAAATTGATGATCAAATTACCTAGCCAGCAGTGGAGACAGAAAATAGATAACACATAATACTGAAGTAGCATCGACTTGCGTTCATGGCGCACTTATAATAGTGACAAGTCGGATGTCGAGCTTTTGTTGATTTATGCTGAACAGTCAAATTATTTGTCTACATTTTGTTTTCGATCGCTTCTTCTATCTGCTCTTCTGCTCATGTTTTGTTTTCATTTTTTCGTTGTTATTTGATCCTTTTTATCTTATATAACTATTTGTTATTATGTTGTTTTCTGTTCTGTAGTTTCGCAAAGCTGAACGAGTTTAAGGTCGTTTACCCTACGAGAGACCTATTCGATTGGTCGGCGGCTGACACAATCATGAGTTTCATGGATCAGCGCCACAAGCGCAAATCACATGCTGCCGTCGACAAGTTCGTCGATCACTATTACTTCGACGTGTCGGGAATTCACGCCGACTATCGTCTGATCGGTGCCGAACTACGAGTGTTTTACAACTTGACTGTTATCGGTCGCCTTTTCGCCGATCGGCTTCTCAGCGTCCACGTTTACATGATCAAGAAGTTTGAGAAGTAAGCATCTACAAAGTATATGTGCTGTATTTACCTATTTATTTATTTACTGTATGCATAATATTGTACACTCTGTAATTTTAAGCCACTTCAAGTGTGACTACGTAGCCGTCGGTATGCCCTCAGATTTTGACATGGACAGTTGCCGATGGTAATGTGCAAACTCAGCTGGATTGCGTCATATCACAAATCTCGCACATCAAGACTATTAACAGACCATAATTGCTCGTTCAAGCAGAACCGATACGAGAGAAATACTGTCACACTTTGTGAAAAACCCGATGGCAGAAATGTCATTACGATCGTTTCACTGCTTGTTTGCTTAGCGCGATTTACTGAATGAATGCTAGTTAAGGCAGAAAGGGAAAACATTTAAAGTGTACATCGTTTGTCATGATGTCATGAAGAAAGATATTACGGCCGGCACAGATTTAATTAGTGTAAATTCAAGTTGCTATTGGTGTAAAGTGCTTAATGTTATGGTTGCATTCAGCTACTGGTTTAATATGTTGCACCTTGCCTCCACTTTTGCGACTACATGAGAACTAAATCGGTGCTTTCCGAGATGTCGGTGTCCAAATGAAATCTCAGAATGCTTTCAGCCACGACCACAAGATTAATGATCTATAAACATTACTTGAATTCTTAATGTGAACGTAGTTCTTCACAGTAGTCTTACTCCTCATATCTTATGTATGGTTTGCGAGATGTTTCACATTGCATTGGATCCATCTTGGAAAAGTAGTTGGGGTAGGGTTGATTCTCTTAGGCAAAAAGCAGACAGCAGCAATCAGTAAATTATAGTAAACTATGCATGTGAAACAGACCTTGAAATTTAGGTTCAGACTGCAAACTACTGAAGATACGTTTCTGTCACTTCGGATTTCTGAGCGTCCTAGACAGGAAAGTTAATATTGACCTGTCGTGAACTTCAGCCCACGCTGGAATAGCATTGACTTTGCTTCCGATATTTGAACAAAAATAGATTTGTCGTTTGAGCCTCACGTGTAACGAATGGCGGTCGTCGGGGTCCGGGTCGGTTTTATTGATATGAAAAATAATCACGACGTTTCGATGCAGAATACTAAAATCCTTTCATTTCAGACCAGTAGTAACCACTGCGCAGATACTGGTTGTTGTTGTTGTTGTCATCGTCATCTGAAGTATCAGGATTAAAGACCGAGTGCTCAGATTATTGATATCTGACGCTTTGGCTTCTCAGATGATTTAGGCGATGTTGGTTGCTGCGGCAGAGGTCATGTTCTTCGTCGCAAGCAAGTCTGCCTCAGGCAGCTGTTTTAGGGTGTAATATTGGCCTCCGATGCGCTTGCGGCTATCTTTTGCTTCCCAGAGGAGTGTAGTTTTGGATAAGTCTCTATCCTCTGTCTGAATGGTTCTGTCAAACCATGACAAACGCTGCTCCCTGACTTCTTCAGACATCATTCTCAGGTTGGTCGTCTCCAAGATCCAGTGGTGGGTACAGGTAATCATGGACACTCAGAAACCAAAGACCAAAAGACAGACAATCTCATTCGAGGGCATTACCAGAAGTTTCAACGACTTCATGAAGTAGAAGGACTCTTTGCACTCTGCTGTGAACACTGAATTCACCGAATCAAATTAGCGTAATTGATTGTTTAAATGCCCCCAAGCTATTTAATGAGTGTGAGCTTCTGGGATCAGTTCGTTTTCAACAGCTGTTTTTGTTCAGATGCTGGCAACAAATTCCTTGATCTGGTATTTTTCGTAACACGGTTCATTTCAAAGCTCTTGCTACTGTTGATCTTCAAACCGTTGAGCTCAATTCACTATTCTCTCTTCAGAAAACATGACTCAGTTTTGTTAAGTAACCCAAACTTCAAGCAAAAATGTGCGTTGTTGACACGTTTATCACATCCTAAAACATTATCTTCTTTATAAAAAAATGTTTATTGCCGTATTCAGTAATATTTAATAATCTTCCTAATGCTACATTTATACTGCTGTACCGAAGTTTTGTTCATTTATCGACTTGTTTAAGAACCAATCAGCTGGAACTGATTGCGTCCTCGTCGCTGGCCAATGATCGCAATGGCTGGATTCTTCTGAACGTCACGTCCATGCTCGACTTCTGGATGCGTCACGGTGCTCAGAACGTCGGCATGCTGCTTAATATCGTGGATAAAAACGGTAAGGTAAGAACGTTCGAAGCTGCAGTGTATTTTATGCCAAACGTAGATTTAGGGCGTCGCTGGAGTCCGAACGATTTGGGTGTGTCTGAGTGTTTCATGGTCGGCTACTTCGCGGCCGACAAGATGACCGCCACTCGACGAGTTAAGAGGTCGCACGCACCTTCCGGAATTGAGTACAGCAACGATATGGACTGGTCGAATGTAGTGGGTACGCGTCATTTAGGCTATGCGTCGAAAATCCCCATTTGAGTTTATGTCGACTTTTAGTTTTCTGACAGTCCCTCAGTATTTGTAATACCCTAAATGCCTACGAAATAGCATTGTTGGGCATCGGCTTACTCCT